TTCAGGGATGCCTGACACGCAGCAGGTCGCTGACGAGGCGTCGTACGTGCCCTCGCGACCCCTCCCTCCTTCACCGACCGCCGCTCCTCCGCTCCGTCTCACCTCGTGTCTACCGTGGCTGCCTGCAGCAGCAGGTCGCTGACGTGCGGTCGTACGTGCCCGGTCGCGACCCCTCCGCCTCAGCCTACCGACCCCCTCCTCTGCTCGTCACATTCCCTCCTCCCCTCCCTCCCCTCCCTCTCCTTCGTCTCACACTCGTGCTACGTGTCTGCTGCAGCAGCATGCGTCTGACGGCATGCGTCGTACGTGCCCTGCGCTGGTGCAGCGCCGGTTGAAGGGCAGCGCCAGCGCACGAATAATACTCGGCCGTCAGGCGCGCGTACACGGGCTGGCTCCGACGATGCGCCGCGATACGAGAAGTGACGTCGTAGTACGATCGCCGTTGTCGGCCAGCCGAAGAATCGGCAGGCGCGTACGATGTAGAGGCGCGACAGCGGCCGAGGTTGTACGACAGACGCTCGTGAGCGTCGCGAAGATGCGCTTGTGTGTGTGTGTGTGTGTGTGTGTGTGTGTGTGTGTGTGTGTGTGTGTGTGTGTGTGTGTGTGTGTGTGTGTGTGTGTGCGTGCGCGTGCGCGCGCGTGTGTGTGCGTGCGTGCCTGCGTGCATGCGCGTGCGTGCGTATGCGTGCGTGCGTGCGTATGCGTGTGTGCGTGTATGCGTGTGCGTGCGTGCGTGCGTGCGTGTGGGCGTGCGTGCGTGCGTGCATGCGCGTTCGTGCGTATGCGTGTGTGCGTGCGTGGTTTTTATTGTAGCGCTAACGGTTGTACTTGAGAGAAATATCGAAAGCAATTACGGGAAACGGGCCACAGTGCCGGCGGTATATATCTATATATTCGCTATGTCACGCGATGGGCAGTAATGGGGGGGGGGGGCTGCGACCTGCTCCTAACATGATCTGACGTCGCAACGACCCGCGAACGGCACGCGTGACGCGACGTGACGCGGCGTGACGTCACAATAACTCGCGTACGCCTGTTCCAGGTATCACGGGAGAGGTCGTCATTGACGCGAACGGCGACCGGGCGTCGGACTATTCACTGCTCGACATGCACCCGGTAACAGGAGAGTGGCACGTAAGTGGCGGCCCGAATATCCTACTGACGTGACTGACAGGAAGTTTCAGCCAATCAGCGTAGCGAAAAAAGCAATCCTAAGTAAAGAAGTGCGCCAAAGTCAAATCTTTAGCGCGCACTCGTGAAATAAACACGTACCATGCATCTGGTCTAGCTCTGCCGGCCTAGCAACAACATTCCAGGCAGCGGCGTGGCTATATCTCTCAATTGTTACCTCCGCCAGGGGCTTGGCGGAGGTTATGTTTTCACCGGCGTGTGTTTGAGTGTTGGTTTGTGGGTTTGTGAACATGCACGTTTCAGTTCACTTCCGCTAGGTGCGCTGGCTGTAGACTTACAAACACGCAACCACAGGCTAAGGGGCAACCACAGTCCTCCCCGACCTGCACGCTCGCACGCTCGCATTAATTAATTAATTAATTACATTTTTTACATTGAGAGAATTTAGCTGCCTTGGCGGAGGTCTGTGCTCTCCGAGTGCTCTAGTTTTGCCTGTAAAATCTACAGATTTAGATCCTCTAGTTCACCATGGCCAGAACACTGACTGAACATGGTATAAGTGAGTGAAGGCAAGTCCCAAGCAGTTAGGGTTAGGGTTAGGGCAAGCCGTAATCGATTCAACTTCACATCTTATGCTTTACGTCTTTTCCTTATGCTAAATACTTTGTTGTAAAATGTTAAATCAAGAAACTCTAATCTTGAAATTTACCAACTAGGAAAGCTTTAAGAATCGCGTGTATTAGCGCGCGTACGATTTCTGTGGACCGTCTAATATTAATAAAAATATGTTATTATTATTATTATTAATAAATAAAGTTTCTAATTCTAAACGAAAACTTAGAATAAATAAGAAAGTATTGATACCTTAAATTAGATAGATCGACCCATCATTAACCACTGGTCAACAGGTCGCCTACAATTACTACGGCGCTCGCAAGGAATTTGAGCCGACAGAGTACGCCATCCACTGGCCTGCTGGAAGGACGGATCCGCCGCCGGACGAACCTGAATGCGGATTCAGAGGTGACGATCCGGTATGCGAAAGCAAAGAGGAAGGTGAGTGTAGTCCCAGCAGCGGTAACTCTGTACGTGGCCGCGTCCTTGCAAGGTCGTTACTGCATCCCGACGTGCTTCAATGTTATTAACGTATTAATCACTAATTTCATGGACATAATAACGTGTAATTGTAGCCGAATAGAAGAAATTGCATAATTTTTCTTTCAGGTGGAATTACAAGCGCCACAATAGCTATAATAAGCTTCAGTGTTATTCTTGTGATCGGTGGGGCCATCTGTTTCATGCTATACAGGTGAGAATGAGCGAGAGGGAGAAGTTGTCATGCAAACGTTACGCGGGAAAAAACTGAAAGCGCGATATACGTATATGTGGTAACCCATAGCGTATAGATAATATCAGGAGTAGATAATAGGGAATCCCCTATTATCTACCCTATAACCCTATCTACCCTATTACCTTATCTATCTACCCTATTACCCTATTATCTACCCTATTACCAGAAGTAGATAATAGGGAATCCCCTATTATCTACCCTATAACCCTATCTACCCTATTACCCTATCTATTATCCTATTACCCTATTATCTACCCTATAATCCTATCTACCCTATTATCTACCCTATTAATACCTATAGGGAATTCCCTATTATCTACTCCTGATAATATCTTATCTATAATCGACCGTAGCAGCACAGGCATGCTCGCATGCTCGTATATCCACACATATGCCACCCGAACACGCGCATTCAATACAATGCGACACTATACAGGAAGATGAAGCTCGAATCTGATCTCAGAGACACCTGGTGGAAGGTGTCGTGGCAGGAGGTCAACCTCACAAAGGAGAAGGGCAGGCGGAGCGCTTCTGGATTGTCGGTATGTCCGATTCATTTCCCGTCTACACAATGCCAGAGCATGCGCGTACACGCGTGTGAGTGGTGGTAGTGGTACTGTTGGTGGTTATGGTGGTGGTGGTGGTGGTGGTGGTGGTGGTGGTGGTGGTGGTGGTGGTGGTTGTGGTGGTGGTGATGGTGGTGGGGTTATGGTGGTGGATGGTGGTGGTGGT